AAAACAAAAAGCATGTTTAATAATATGTTTTTGTTTTTTATAACAGAAAACGTTTTCCATTTTTGTGAAGAAAGGAAGAAACATAAAAAAGATATTTTTCATATTTTCGACACTATTGAGCAAAAACGGTTTCACTATTATCATTACATATACACTGTTCATTTCAAATAAAATGTATGTTATTCATGTTATACACTAATGCTTCATATTAAATACTAATAAAATATTTTTTTAATATATATTTATATTATATTATATATTAGTGTAAATTATTTTTTATTTAACAAAAGTATTTTTTTTAAATATAATATATTACATAATAGTGTAAATTATTTTTTAGGACAAAAAAATTTATGATTTATTATATATTTATTATTTATATTTATATAATATATTATTATATACCATATCTATATTATATTATAGTTATATTATTTAATATTTTTTATTTATTATAATATAACATATGTTAAATATATTATATATTTTATAATAAATATATAGATGATGCATATGCATGCACTTATATACATAATTGGTGAGAGTGTTTTTATCTTTATATATCTTATTTTGTACTTATGTATCGGGTATTATTAGGATTTGTGATTTTAAATTTAGTATATTGTATTATTAGGATTTGTGATTTTAAATTGAATATTATATTTTATTATTTGTATTGGATATTTTTAATATTTGTGAAATAATTGAATTGCATAAATATTTTTTAAAAAAATGTAAAAAAAAATTAAAATTAAAATAAAATAATAAAAAAATGTTATGTAAATCTGTAACAAATATGTATTACTAAACACTGTTATTATTTTTTGCTTTTAAAATTGTGACAACAACAAGTGTTAATACACGTCATTTTTTATTTTTATTATTAATCAAGAAAACAAAATTATGTTTCTACTTTCTTAAGACTGCAAAAATAGAAAATAAAAACGTTACTAAACGTACTTGATTGTGGGCTTTGTATCTTTGTTTTTGTTTTCTTCCAAGGGGTATGAATATCGGGCAGTAATCCTCTCCGTGGCACCTCTCACTGAGGGTGTCCATGGCAGATCCAATGGCTGGGATGAAACCACGTCAGCCTATTTTGCCATGTCGTTGCCTTGTCAGTAATGACGAAGCGCTAAGTCAGCAGTAATATTTAAACCTTACTTTTTTTTTACCATGTACAAATACTGCAAATAATATACATACTTACTGTCATAGGGGTAAATTTTGAACACGAATCTAGTGGTCTGCGAAGGCACTAAGCCAGAAATATGAACATCTTTTTTCTGAATTTATAACTTAGCTCAGCCAACTCACACTTGATGCCTAGAACACACAGCAAGTAAAACACTCTCTCACACAAGTATAGTTGCAAGAATGTAAGGACAATAGCACTCACGAATTTACTGAAGTACAAGACTTCCAACCTTTTACTATTATTCACAAAACAGTACAAGGAAAGACCTCAACCTGCAGAAGCATACAAGAGTTTCTCACAACACAACTTTATGTCTCACTCGCAATCTGCCCTCTCTACAGAACCCACATTAGCAATATATAGGTAAATTCTCAAAACCGCCTACTAAAGTGGTGAATGACACCCCCATCCACCTAGGGTCGTGCTGGCACCCTCTAAGTGTGTTAGCACTATATATGCAGTTGACAAGCCCAACTGCTAGCTTGTTGGCACGCTCTGCTCATGCCACATGCGTGGGAAGTTACTCAGCACACCCCCACTCCCTAAAATGAGTGGAAAGTGCTAGTAACTTCCCCCAACCAACTGAGCCAACTTTGTGAACCTAGCTCATGCCAAGCCCACTAATCTACACCCACATATAAATGTTTCAGAATGCACGGCGTGCCAAGCCATGCACGCCCGTGTGCACACCCAAGTGCACACCTAAGTGCACGCCCGGGTGCACACCGTTAAGCGCATTGCTGCATGCTGGCGCACACGCTGGTACTCATCTGCTCGCGCCATGCCTGAACGCCCATGTGCACGTTGCTGCACGCCCGCACACACACCGGGTTGGACGCTTGCCCATGCGCCAGCCTGGACGCCCGCGCACGCCACCGCTCACTTGTCTGTCATTCGGTAGTTCAAATGCTCCCCTCTTGTATAACTATCTTGAAGTGGTGCAACACGTGCCCATACACGTTGGCTAAGCCCTGTAAGCAAGCCATGCCATAGCCCAACTGATGTGCTCAACAGACCCCTCCCTAGTATAGTTTTCAGGAAAATCAGCACTCTGACAGGAGTAGGCATCACCTATGCTTGAGGAGTCATAATGGCCTTTCAGACCCTTCCCGACATCCAAATCGAATGCCGCCTGCGCCAACCATCTTCTATAAACTCTAGGTACCTCCTATAAAGATCTCGAGCCAAAACTCCAAATTTCACTTTTTGTCATATTAACGAAAATACCACTGGGCACCAGTATCCCATGACTGTCGTGGGGCTTGTCAAGGTCCCAACCCCATAACACTTACCATATACGAATACAATATACCAAAACCATTCTCACCACCGGTCCTCCTCCACCACCACCGTAACCGCCGGCAACACCATTGCACCACATAAAAATTTTCCAATCCCCAAAATTTTCTGGATCACCACCGTCCATTCTCTCTCTCAGGAACTCCGGTATCATCCTTACTCCTCTTTTTCTCTCTACCCTTACTCCATCGTCATATACACACAGATACATAGATACATATATACACAGACACATACACATACATTACACGCAGGTCTGACTCCGGCGAGCTTCAGTCAAGTCCGGCAGAGTCTGGGGTGAGCCGCACCATGATCTTCTTCACGCCCTCTGCCTCAACATCAACTTTCTGTTGCGGTGCTGCGACGTACACCACAAACCACCATCACTACTGGACTGAACACCACAAACCACCATCACAACTGGACTGAACACCACAAACCACCATCGCCACCAAACTGAACTTCGAGCCGTATCGTGATCTTCTTCACGCCCTCTGCTTCAACATCAACTCTCTGCTGCAGTCAAGCACTGGGAAGGAACGGAGGCTGATTTGGGCGAATTCGTCGTCGTTACGAAGAGGAGAGGAACGAACACCAAACACCACCTAAAAATCCGGCCACCAATCACCACCGGTGCTTGTTCAGCTGGTTTTCAGCCATTAAATCCGGCCACCAAACACACCAAAAAAAAGAAAAAAATACATATATCTGGATGGATTTGCTTAGTGATTGTGAAAAAATATTTGTGAGGTATCTACAGGCATAGTTGAGGGGTTGGTTGAGCGCGCGGCGGATGAGGTATCTACAGTCGTAGTTGAGGGGTTGGTTGAGCGCGCGGCGGATGGAGGCGGAGATCTTGCCGTGGACGAGGTTGGTGTCGAAGTGGTAGAGGCAAAAGGTGAGGTAAGGGAAGGTTGTGAGAATGGTGCGGCGGAGGTCGGCCCGGCGGTGGGTGGCGAGGAAGTGTAAGACAATGTACAGATACATAGGTACAAATATATAGCCTTATTGGTACAGATTATAGACCTACATAAGAAAAGTAAATACCATTTTTACCCCTGCCACGTCACCCATTTACTGGCCTCCATGTCAGCAATGGACACCCTCCAGTGAGAGGGTGTCTGGAGACGATTTTTCCCCATGAATATAACTCACTGATGACTCATCAGATGCTCTTTGATAGCTACCGCTTGTCTTGGAATATTTCTCGTTTTAGATCCATCCCCGTTACTAACCCGATGAGTATATTCCTTCATTTACATTCATTATATATATAATGTTTTGTGATTCCCCAATTTTCAAACTCTCTCATAAATAGATCTACCATGCTTCTTGCTGCTACATCATCTCTGCAACACCACAACCTCTCCGGCTATGTCTCTCTCACAACCCAATACTATTCTCCTTCCATATAATTTACCCCAGACCCACAGATGGTGCTCCAACTCCTCCTCATCCGTCACAATCACAGGTGATCTTCCTGGGCATTTCTCATATGCTTTTGGATTTCCAATTGTTTTCATGTTTCTATATGCATTCTGCTTTCGATTGTTTCTAGATTGATACTGCTATACTTTATTTCTTGTGATGATTTAGTTTTGTTTCCTCGATCAGCTTGATGCGGAGCAAATGAACACCCATCCTATCCATAGGCCAACATCCTTTCATAATCCACACAAATGTCATCTATCCAACGGTAGGGAGAATTCTAGATTAGGTTCTAGAATGCTCCAAAGAATGTAGACAATTCACATATTGTCATTTAAAGAACTTTGCCCATTATTTATAATAGCTGGGATAAAAAAAGGGATGAATTTTGCATTGGAGAATTCTAGAATTGGGTTCTAGAATGCTCTAAAAGAATTCAGATTATTCCCGTTAGTTATAATAGCTAGGATGAAAAAAAGATGGATTTTGCCCCAATTGCAATTTGATGGCCTTTTGTTTACTTAGACTCATCTGATCACCATCTATTTTCTATGTAATTGGTGTCAATGACTGAGTTTCTATTGTATCATTGTGGGCAGACCATTCAAGTTTTGAGATCTTGGTATGGTGGTGTGCTTTGTTTGTCAACCTTGATGGCAAGGTCATTTTATGGTGGGGTGGGTTGTTACCCATCAATGATGTGACATCATTAGTGGGATTCATTGAGTTCTGTAAAAACAAGTACAAGGCTAGGGATGCAAACTAGAGTGGATTTGATTTATAGTTTTAATACAGAATTATATTAATTTAATTTCCAATAGGTTTTTGTAATATGTCGAGTATAACTTTTAGTGGGGCAATCTCTCTGAGTTAGTTAGCCTAATGGATTTGTAATTTTGTATAGAGGAAGAAATTAAAAATTGATCTCATCTTTTAGTGGGATTTTGTACAATTTAGTTAGCCAATATAACATTAATAATTAATTTTTGCTTTGGAGAAGCTTGTGTACACACCGGTCGTCTCTTCTCCCTCCTTACTCACATTAATATCTTTATTCGCAATCTGAATGCAAAAATTAGTTGGACTTCTGAATTTAAGTAAAATTTAAAATCAAGCCTTGTTCTATACTTCTGGCATTCTCAGTTTACCTTTTTCTCCTTCTCTTGAATATATATAGTATAAGAATTTTATTATGAGTTATTTTCATTTCCTTATCTGATAAAATTCTCTTTTCTATAGCAGCTTCTCTGGACCCTGGAGTTAAAATAGTGACAGACACTAATGTTGCTGGTCTGGTATGATTATCCTGCAATTCATACTATTACTAATTCGTTCAGTCACTTATTTTTCTTCTCTACTTGTCCAAAGAACAAATAAATTAATATGGTGTGATACTATATGTAGTGTTTTCAGGAAACTAAAGAAAGAATTAGAAAACTGTTCGATAAGGTAGAGCTTTCTGTATCTTCGTATGACACTGCTTGGGTAGCAATGGTCCCCTCTCAAAATTCTTCTCAGGCCCCGCGTTTCCCTGACTGTGTTAATTGGTTATTGGATAATCAGTTCTCTGATGGCTCTTGGAGCAATCCGCATCGTCATCCCCAGTTACGTAAAGATGCACTCACATCAACATTAGCATGTGTCCTTGCACTCAAGCGATGGGGTGTTGGTGAAGCTCAAATCAACAAGGGTATTCGCCCTGTTCTTCTCTCTCACTTTCCTACAACTATGTAACTATTTCACTATATATATATTCCTTGTTGCAGGTCTACAATTTATCGAGTTAAATTTCACTTCAGCTACTGATGACAATCAACATCATCCAATTGGATTTGACATCATTTTCCCTGGATTGCTTGAGTACGCAAAAAATTTGGACTTGAATCTCCCTCTGGAACCAACAGATTTAGATGCTATGTTTCACAAGAGAGACTTGGAGCTCAGAAGGTATATTTTTTATTTTATGTTTTGGTACTGCTTATGGTTGTGATATTAATATGTTCAACAGTGATTGTCATGAAAAGAACTGTGATTGCTAATTACAAATGTGAAACAAGTGGGCTAAGCCTGGTTGAACTAAGTATTATTGTACAGCATTTGCCAGTCTAGCTCAATGTTTGGTTAGGTTGGAAGGGCGGCTCAACGTTAGTCAAAAACAAAGGTTGTAACTCGATTAGAAATGATTATAGAGATATATTAATAAATTTATAATTGTACGGATAAAAAATTATACTCAGAACTAAAGCAAATCTACAAGGTAAAATTATTTAATTTCACTGTGGTTTCAAAAGCCTCCAACTTATTTACTTATCAAAAAAAAAAAAAGACTCCAACTTATTTTTTCCATTTCGTCTTCATGTAGATGCTATTCTGAGGGGAGAAAAGCTTACTTAGCATACGTTTCAGAAGGAATTGGGAAGCTAGAGGAATGGGAAATGGTCATGAAATATCAGAGGAAGAATGGCTCAATCTTGAATTCGCCATCCACTACAGCAGCTGCTCTTACTCATGTTCAGAATGATGGTTGTCTGAATTACCTCCACTCACTCTTACTGAAGTTCGGTAATGCAGGTAGTTCCCTTCACATTTGTCTATGGCCTATGTATCAGTTCTATGTATTTTTAACTTGTTTATGTTCAATTTATCTTTTCAGTTCCAACAGTTTATCCTCTGCATATACATGCGCGTCTCAGCATTGTGGACAGTCTTGAAAGGCTGGGAATTGAGCGATATTTTAGGAAGGAAATTAGGAGTGTGTTGGATGAAACATACGGGTACTCTCCACTTTAGCTTTGATTTCTTACACCAACCTCTTATACAAGTTTAAGGTTTTCGTGATCATACATGGAAGACTTGATATTGCTAAAATGTAAACAGATGCTGGCTACAGGGAGAAGAAGAGATATTCATGGACATTGCCACTTGTGCTATGGCATTTCGGTTATTGCGGCTGCATGGATACGATATCTCTTCAGGTATTTATCATTTGATGTGTACTTTCCTCTTTAGGATCAATAAAAGTTTGATCCTTTTGACATGTGGTGTAGATCCATTAACCCAGTTTACCAAAGAAGAGTATGACTTTGATTCCCCATGGGGACACTTGAAGGATATTGGTGCTGCCCTTGAATTATATAAGGCTTCGCAGATCATTATATATCCCGATGAATCAGATTTGAAGAAACAAAACTCATGGTCCAATCATTTTCTGAAAACAAAATTATGCAATGGTTCAATTCATTCGGATAGACTCGATAAATATGTTATCCAAGAGGTAGCTTTTTGTGATATTGGTATTTGGTAATATGAAAATGTTTAATTAGTCTATAGAACATTCTCTGTTTATTCATCTGAATTCTGATATAGTTTCAAACAATTATGATTTTTCATTTGCAGGTGGATGATGCTCTTAAATTTCCCTTCCATGCTAGTTTAGAGCGCATTGCAAACAGGAGAAATATCGAGCATTATAATGCAGATAGTTCAAGAATTTTAAAAACTTTGTATTGGTAGACCTCTGGTAGATTTTTAAAATTTCTCTTAAGAAGTATGTTATTTTTGCATTTTTTAACAGTCACTTGAGTTAAATATTGATTACTTCTACTTCTATTGTTCTGATTCCAGTTCATCAAATGTTAGCAATGAAGATTTTTTTAAACTGGCAGTAGAGGATTTTCACATCTGCCAGTCTATACACCGTGAAGAAATCAATCATCTTGAGAGGTGCGCATATGTACATTGAGGATGATGATTTTGGTACAAAGCATTTTCATGGAATATTTTATGAGAGGAAGGTCAAGCAGTAGCATGGAGCCAACTGTCTGCTTGAGCTCTTTGCTCTCTAAAGTAGATTGGTTGGTTCTAAAGGTATATTGCGCTTGAGCTTGGCCTCCCCTGTTTAACTCTAGCCTCTGCTTGGCCCCAATCTTTGGTTTTGGTCAGTCAGTAGAAGTCCCAGCCCTCTAAAGCTATGATTCGTTTTACCGTTTTTTTTTTTTTTTTTTGCATTCCTTTATTCTATTGGCACGTTTTGATTGATGAGCATCAATCAAAAATCCAGAAAAAAATAAAAAATAAAAATCATCGGTCATGGTGTTATTCATGTTTTGATTGATGTAAGAACATTACATATCAGTATTGTAAATGAGGTGTTGTGTCCTCTCTCCATGTGAGCAGGTGGGTTGTCGAGAACAGATTAGACAAGCTAAAGTTTGCCAGGCAGCGATCAGCATACTGTTACTTTGCCGCTGCAGCAACCATTTTCTCTCCTGAAATGTCTGATGCCCGCATGTCATGGGCCAAAAATGCTGTGCTCACGACAGTAGTTGATGACTTTTTTGACATTGGAGGTTCTATAAAGGAATTAGAAAACCTAATTCACTTGGTTGAAAAGTAGGTTTCCCTCGTCCTTTGCTTATGCTCTTTTGCTTGCATTGTCCATTGGTTCATGATTTCTGCAGACTTTCTTTATTACATTTCCCATTACAGAAGTGATGATGTGATGCAATATTGACCACAGATGGGATGTAAATTTAGGCATCGACTGCTGTTCAGAGCAAGGTCAAATCATATTTTCAGCACTTCACAGCACAATCTGTGAGATTGGAGGCAAAGCACTCACATGGCAAGGACGTAGCATGACAAGCGACATAAAAGAGATTGTGAGATGAAATTTTCGCTTTGTGCATCCTTTTTATTTTAGTTAATTAAATTGAGAAAGAGATTTTCAATAGCATTCTGATAAAACTATAACATTCTACAAATGAGAAAATAATACCTACTAATATTTGTGCATTAAATTATGCTAAAAAAAATACACGAGAAAAAAAAACATAAAACTCATGGAAAAAAAATGAAAAGTCTATTTTACATGAGAAGTGTAATTTGAAAGGAATGAGAACCATGGGAAATTGTTATGTGATGCACTTGAAACCTACACTAGTCTCTAACAATTCACAAACCCTCAGATGTTCTGCAAAAATAAATCTTCTGACCTTAATGTAAATGTTGGGTTTCGGAGTAGCAGTAACGCTTGTTGGGAATAAAGTTATATTTTAATTTCATATTAACTTTGCAGAGTCAACATTGAAAGGGATATTGGACCTTGTTTATTTTGTTCAGCCAATGGTGATGTGAGTTATGTTTGTGTGCAGTGGTTGGATTTGCTCAGCTCTATGATGAGAGAAGCTGAATGGGTTAGAGACAAGTCAGTGCCAACAATGGATGAATATATGAGAAATGCATATGTATCCTTTGCCTTGGGACCAATTGTCCTTCCAGCTCTTTATTTCATTGGACCCAAGCTCTCAAATGAGGTTGTTTGCAGTTCCGAAATCCACAATCTATTTAAGCTTATGAGCACTTGTGGACGTCTTCTCAATGATATCCAGAGCTTCAAGGTAGAAACATACACACACGGGCTGGCATGTTTATACATGCACATACACCCCTTTGATTGATGGTTGTGCATCGGTTTTTGAGTTGATGATTCCTTATGGTTTATATTGCAGAGGGAATCAAAGGAAGGTAAACTGAATGCCGTGTCATTGCACATGATTAATAGAGGTGCTATCACTGAAGAAGAGTCCATTGGAGAGATGAAGAGGTTCATTGATGGTCAGAGGAGAGAATTGCTGAGATTAGTTTTGCAGAAAAAGGATAGCATTGTTCCAAGAGCCTGCAAGGATTTGTTCTGGAAAATGTGCAAAGTGGTGCATCTATTTTACGCGAAGGATGATGGTTTCACTTCACATGAGATGATCAGTGCTGTGAATGCAGTCATTCATGAACCCATTGCTTTGGTAAAAGTGTAAGTGTTAGAGAAGCTCCAAAATTCTGTGATTTTGCTAGCTGCTACTGCTCCTTCTTTTTTCTTTTCTTTTTCTTTCCTCTCTCTCTCTCTCTCTCCCTATATATGTATGTCTATCTATCTATCTATCTATCTATCTATCTTTTGATTTTTAGATTGCATGTTGACTACGACTTTGATGAAATTTTCATTCTTAAAAAATGTTTCAAGCCCTATCATTCTTTTTGTGATATATTGGTTTCCCTTGACTAGACTTATTTTTTCTCTACCATGGGTGAATCTATTGAGAATGGTCAGTTAATTTATTCTGTGTAGCACATACGAATCATAGTGTCCGCTGGTGAAAATGTGATTGAAGAACCATTTAAGCAAACTATGAAATCTGATACAGATTCCTCTTCATGTGTGAATCTATTTTCTTGGGAAGATGAGGAAGAGTGGAATGGTTTATCACAAGTCCCTTCCTACTTGGTGAATTCTGAATTTTTGGCAGTAAGGCTCCCTTTGTTTGAGCGAAAAATATTTTCTTTGTAATATGTTTTCTACGTAACACTTTTTCATGTAAAGGTTTTCTATGTTACACTTTTTCATGTAAAAGGTTTTCTATGTAACCCTTTTTATGTAGAATGTTTTCTTTATTTTTTATTTTTCGGTGTTTGGCAAAGGTTTTGAAAATATTTTCCAGAAAATATCTTGGGTGTCTCGCTTCTAAAAAATTTTTGAATTAAAATTAAAATTCTTATTTGAGTCATTGGATTAATCAATTTTTCTCTTACTATCAGTTGGTCCAATTATTTTTATACTAACAATAATAATTATTTGACAAGAAATATAAAAAAATAATCAATTGATTTTTTAAAAAATTATAAGGAAGCTGAAACAAATCTATCTATCATCGGATGCAGTGGGCCCCTCTCTCTCTTTTTTTTTTCTTTTTTTTTTGTTACATGTCACTTTTTAAGGTTTTAGAAAGTAATATTTCATGTTAATCCAATAATGATGACAAAAAAAATATAATAATAAAAGTAAATTGAAGAAACCAAAAATAGGAAATTGTATAATTGTTGTTAAAGAATAGATTGGCCTTGTGCCTCTCACTCCACAATAGGTATTAGGCTTATTGGCTCTTCTCTTAAGAGTTGTTGTTTTTTTTTTTCTGATCACTATAGCACATGTAAGAGAGATCATCTATTTCTCACTCTAAAAACTCTATTTATTAATGCTTTGTCCGGTAAAAAGAAATGAAGAGGGGTGGAAAGAAAATAGGAAGGAAGGAACAAACTTCCTTCGTTCGGTAGAGATGATATAAGGAAAGAAACGATAATAGGATGGCTGAGTTATCCTTCCTCCTTCACAAATTTTCATTCGTCTAAATATGGGCGGAAGAGAGGAGAGAAGACAAGTGGGCCTATTATATAAGTTCTAAATTACTGTATCATCCTTTATAAATACTCTATTTAATATATCTCACAAATAAAGAAAGTGATAGGTTTAATGGTAAAAACAACTTAAAAATCTCTATTTCCTTTTATCTTACCGATCAAAGTAAATTGTCAGTTTCTTCTCTTCTTTTCCATCGAACCAAACAAAAATAGGGAATAACATAATCTCTTCTTTAGGGATGTGTCATTTATCCCTTTCTCTCTCCCTTTCATCCAATTTTCTTCCTTCCTACTGAACGAAGTATAAAGGACTCTTTTCCTGTTCTCTTTCTAGACGCTCTCTTTCTCTCTTTCTAAAGAGCTTTTTGGCCACTATGTAACTCTTCTATATACTTGTGACCTTTTAATTGGTAAGTTATTTTGGTTAAGTTTTGAAACATTATTTTCCTCTGTAAAAGATTTTTTTTGAATTTGAGACTACCAAACATCGGAAAATACAGAAAATATTTTTCAAAAAAGAAAATATTTTCCAAGGTTCCGTTTGTTTGAGCTTAAAATACTTTCCGAAATATACGTTTTGTATTTTCTGGTGTTTGGTTGTCGTAAAATATTTACAAATAAAAAGAGTATTAAAACCTAGCAAAAATAACCTATTCATTAATTTTTAACAAGTTATTTTACATTGATCTCAACTTGGACCTAGATATAAAATATTTCCACTTGATGGACTCGATTTAAATTGTAGAGACCGCGATTTTTTTATTATTATTTATTTTTATTTTATTGTATTTTCGGGTTCAGTTCATGTGGGACTGGATCGGGTCAAGTATTTGGGATTGGTAGGGCCTAAATGAAAGATCATTTGGAACATAATTGATATGGTTGATGTTACCTTAGTGTATCTAAGTGGAAGTTGCTTGGAGGAAGGGAGTGATTACTTGAAAGTTTTGGGGTTAAGTTGTGTGGTTACACATTGTTTTGTGGTGTACTATAAACAGGGGATGGAAGATATCTTCTTCATTGTCTTCCTCATTTTCTCTCTCTATATCTACGGATATATCACTTAGGGCCATAGGTTAGGATTTTGGATGTGGCCAATAAGAGAAAACTTTTCCTTTCTTCTTCCTCTTCATTTCTAGGGAAGAAGATTTGACTTTGAAGCATCTTAGAGATTCGGGTTCCATGAAAGTTGGATTTGTGTCATGACATTTTGTATCAAAATTTCATTTACAATAAATTACAAGAATCAACCAAATTTTTATATTTTCTACCTTTTGATTAAATTAAACTATATTATAATTTTATTTTATGATATTTTTAGTTATTTTATTATTTTTAGTCAGTTCATTAACTTCATTTTAATACTCACTCCGTGATAATATAATTTGTGTAATATTTTTTATATTCAAAATATGTTAATTTAAAGGAAAGCTAATGACAACTACTTTAAGGCTCAGTTTGGTAGAGTGGAAATGGGAGGAAAAGAAAAGAAAAGAAAGGTTATGGAGGGTAATAAAAAAAAAAAAACGTGTTTGGTATTGAAAGTTGGAAGGAAATGAAAGGGAATGGAGGGATAGAAATAGGCTCAACAGTGACTTTTGTAATCTTCCCAAAAATGGGAGGAAATGGAAGGAAATGGGAGGACAGAGCAGGAAAGAGCAATGTAATACCAAATTTACCCTTGATTCTAGGGCGCCAAAATTTACTGCGTTGAGGAGAGGCTGGAACAAAATTGCAGTCGCTGGAGACGAAGGGGCGCGTGACAGCAAGTGGGCGGCGAAGTTCAGTCCGGCGATGAATCAAGCATGGCAGATAGGTACATGGATGGAGCTAATTTCAATTTTGTGGCTGACCAAACCTCCTCACCGCTCATGGAAGCCGTCGGACCTAACTACTTCACGATTGGTTCTGAAATATATGGGTTTTGAACTTCTGATTCTTGTAGATTTTGTAGTTTGCAGTTGCAGAAAGAGAGAGAGCGAGAGAGAAGGCAAGTTTAGAGTTGAGAACAAGAATAGAGATGGAGGCGAAGGTTGAAATTATTTGCCCTAAAAATATATTTATTTTTCTGGTGGCCCATCATCCATGGGCCTATAAATTATGAGGCCCATAACTTTATTTTTTATAATATAAAAGCGTATAATAGTAAATTTACAAAAATACTTTTCTTCCCTTTCTTTTCCCAAACATAATTATTATCCTTTCCTTTCTTTTCTTTCACTAATCAACCAAACACAACAGAGGTTTAAAATTATCATTCCCTTCCATTTCCCTCATAACTAATGTTATCCTCCCCCTTCAAACCCACCGTACCAAACATAGCCCAACGATGTAATGGATTGTGTTACTATATTCTTTTCCTAGTCCGACACAACAATCCAAAGGGACCTTATAGTGCAATTTTGAGTTGGTAATTTTTTTTTCCCTAATTAGCTAGTCGTTTAATTGGAATTAGAAATTTTGACTTGACTATCCGAGTAAGGAGGAACAAAAAAATTGATAACCCGGTGATGATTCCGATATAATAAGACATTACCTTAATAAATCAAATATAAATTAAATGTAATTAGGTTTGGGATAGTAATCCAATCCGATTAAAATATATAAATATATAAATATATATATATATATATATTATTAAATTATTATATGTATGTTATATATATAATAGTTATTTATCATTAAATTTACACATATATATTAATTATTTATTTAGATTCATTTGCATAATTATATATCATATATATTAACAACTTTCTATTCCATCTAACCTTATAACTAGACATATCAATGAAGTCAAAAATAATTAGGATATGAATGGAAACATTTGTATTCCATTCAAATTCAATAATTTATTAATTAAATAAAATAAATATGAATTATATTCTATCTAAGATTCCTAATTCTAAGGTAACTCTTTTTTTTATTATTATTATTTTTTATCAACCTGCCCTGCTTTGAATTTCTAGTATGGTAGTTGCCTCATTCATTTGATTGTGTGCTACCGTCAGTGCCTTGAAACTTTGTTTTTGTTCTCTCTCAAGGAGTATGAATAGACAATATTAGCCTACTCATCATTGAGTAGAAAGTTCATGTTTAGCATTGATGTGGTCCAACAACAAAATGACAAGTGTCCTACAATGTAACCAAAAAAAAAAAAAACACTTAGTAAAAGATTTAAGGAGTTATTTGGATTAAATCTAATATGATCCATACCAAACCCATATTTGATTATCTCTTTCTTAGGCTACTCTATTGCCCTAATCCCTAAGTCATAAAGAATCACAACTATAAGTATCTTGTTCAAATCAAATTCATGGAAGGAATTGGATTACGATTTTCGATTGTGGGTGATAAGATTTCATGTGTGAACTAATATATATATGTGTGTGTGTGTGTGTGTATTGATGTTCTTCTTTTGAATCGGGGCTTGTGTTAATTAAGTTGCCTTCTTGTTGAGGAAAGAAATTAGGAAAAAGAAAAACCAAATTGTTTGTTTAAAGGTTGATGCTTGCACTTGTTAATGGGGTCTTGTCCTACCGGTAAAAATAAATATGAATCTATGATTGTCTTATAACTAATCAACTAAAAAAAAATTCTTAAGAAAACAAATTTTATTTTTATATCAAATCATGACTAAAGACTTTCTTTTATTTATTTGAATAAAGTTAATAAACCTATTTACAATTGAACACTTAAATCTTAATCCAATTCCTTCTACATAATTTTGTTGAGTTTGATTAAGATTTTATGAGAAAGAGAATAATCAAATTAGGATTTGATTCAAATTTTATTGGGTTTAACCCAAATAACTTTTTAAATATATTTTTTTTTTATTTTATATATTAGAGGGACACTTGTTACTTTGTTATTGCGTCACATGA